CATTCTCACACATCAGCCATGAATGATCCAAATCGAGAGCTTCATCGTCAGTGCGACAATCCTTGTTGTCGTCGCGCAAAGCTCCAGGGCCATCATCTTCTCCAACCTGCAGAGAACCACAACGAAATCCAGAAAAATCCCAAATCAAAGAAACCTGTTGCTTGCCTCCATCGGCCACCATGAGTGCTTTCTTACACAACTAGGTTCGTCTTCTTCATGCTACCATGAGCCGCACAATTCGCGAAATCATCATCCATTGAAAGAAAACCACGAGCAGCGTTTGCGGCGCAGGCGCACGAAGGTTTCCCCCAAATGCAAAACCCTAATTTTGGGCTGAAGGTTGAAGAAGATGATGACGTGGCAGAAGTTACTGGACGGCCTGCCGTTAACTATTTAAACGCCCTTTGCAAAAATGACTAAATTGAACAAAAATTACATTCTTTAAGACAACATTGAACAAAAAAAAACTGAAACCAAATCGAACAAACATTGAACAGAAAAAAAAAACTGAAACCAAATCGAACACACCTGACAAAAATATGGACTATCAGAGGTATTAAGCCGAAATTTTATAATTAATTTATTTTTGTACTATGTAATAATGATCATATCATTACTCTAGAATAAATGTTTAATATAAATGTTGTTGAGTAGGTCAAGGAAGGCGCTGTTGGTTTGGAAGGCTGCATTTGCAATTTGTTGAAGTCTTTTACCATTTTGTCTACTTTCCTTCCCAACCAGTCATATCCACTTGTTGAAATCTTTTTCCATTTTGTCTACTTTCCTTCCCAACCAGTCATATCCACTTAACAGTGCCACCGTCAAAATTCTCATTTCAAAACTTCAACAATCTTCACACCACCAACTCCAATCAGATTTCTTTTATTTCTGTTGTCTGTTTCCTTTAGGCAACTTCGTTGTATTTTGACGAAAAGCAGAAAAAAAAAACACACAAATTAAATATTATTTTAATCTTTAAACCTTTTAAATTAATATTCGTTCTTTTCTCAAATTAAATTGAATTAACCTTTTTTTGTATACTGCACAGGAGAGATTTATGAAAAATTTATGTATAAAAGAGAATAAATAATTTATGATACATATAATTATTTTTATATTATAATTTTGTTCCTCATGGTTACTTATCATATCATAAGAATTTTTTTCTGATGTTATGTTATTAATATATTTTATATTATAATAAATAAAATAAAATAATTTAATATTTTATAAGTATATATTTCCATATCATAAAAGGGTAATACTTAGAATAAAATCATTGAAGTAATACATAAAATAAAATAGTTTAATATTTTATTCATATGTACGTTTCTATATTATAATAAATAAATAGTTAACATAATAAATCGAATAAAATTGATTTATCTAAATTGTGAGACTTTCTAAAATAATATTTTAATATATTGCTTTTTCGACATATATTTTTTATTTTGATTTAAAATTTATTTACACTTTAATATATATTTTAAATATATACCAATAAGTTATTCTATTACATTAATAATATTTATTATCAGTTTTTGACTATTTTTTTCCTCGAATAAAAAAATCCCATTTTTATTCTCTTCCACTTCCATGTGATGTATACAAAGCGTAAGTATTACTGTATTTGGTCAACTCCAAAATGGTCAACTCCAAAATATATTTTAAGAAACCAAAATTTGGTCTACTCCAAAATGGTTTTTTGTTTCAGAACACTTAGAAAATTCTAACTCAACACAGCCATGCTATCACCCTTTGTTAAGATATTAATTTTATTATCATAGTTGTGTATATGTGCTAACCTTTTCATAAAATTATAAAAGATTAAAAGATACGTCCTAATATTTTTATAAGTATTATAAATATATATCTTTTATTTTATTTTGTAGACCTGAATAGTTATAATATATAATGCACATATATTTATGTTTTGTATTTTTACATTATTCATGAATTTTGAATTCTTTGCATTCTCCCTTTTTGTTCTTGATAATCATAATCTAAACCTTCTACATATTACCCTTTAGTTGACAATTTCAATTGAAAGGAAACCTCTGTCAGACCTTCCAGGAAGTTCTATCAAGTGGTCTTTTTTCTGCTTTCCATTCCCCACTATAAAGTATCGTATTCATTTCTAGAGTTAATTTTCAACCACAACTACGCACTGGTTGTTTATTATTATTATAATTATTATTTTGTTAATAATGGTTCTCATGGTGCATTGGGCTCTATACTGATGCTCTATCAAGTTTGAGAGTTTCTCCCTGTACCACCATGTTTTTCTCCCTGCACCACCACATCTTCAATTTATCCTTGACACACATTTAAAGTTGGTGGTTAAAAAATTTTGTATTTTACCACTATATAAACATGCACACCTACCCCACGGAAATGGAGAATTCGTTAACGAATGCCCATTCCTGCCTACAACCATTTTTATTTTATTTTGGTTTCTTAAACAATTATGGAGAATCAAATTGCAACCCTCACTAGGGTAATTCTACTTTTCTCTTCCTCAAACAAAATCCTTGCATTTTTCACGCTGAACACCACACGAATCTACTCATGAGCTTACGCCCTTAGTCTACTGCTACATATCCACGGTTAGCTACCTCGTAACCCAAGCATTCTCAACCCAAGAGAGACTCATATGACAATGTAACAAATACCCTCTTACTATACGAATTCTAGAATTCATTAACACAATGCCTCATACGTGTAACAACATCATATATCCATGCACCATAACCAAAACTGAGACTCATAAACACCAACCATAATGCTTGAAAAGGAACACTCAAAGAGATCAACTCACAGGATCCCAACCTCAACCAAAACAACAACCATACAATAATGGAGGGAAACGAAACGAAATTCACAAAAAGGGAGAGTAAGATGAGGAGAGTAGGAAGAAGAGAGAATGAGAGAAATGAGATTCTGTGAGGTGTGTGGTAAGCAGCACAATGAAAGGGAGAGAAGAGAAGATTAGGGTTTTAGATCAAATAAGGTAAAAGTAAAAACATAATTACTGAAGGTTACTTTTGGAATAAAAAAAATTAGAGAGAAGGGTGTGGTGGTGTAGGGAGAAAGGTGTGGTGGTGTAGGGAGAAGCACTCATCAAGTTTTTCACGTCACCACCAAATTGTCCTTATGTTTCAGTAAATTGATTTTAGAAAACGGTTGACAATAGGCAGCTTGGCTGCCTAGCCGTCCGACAGTTAGCAGCTTGACCTTTCGATAGTTCAATCCAGCCTGAAATACCCATAGTAAGAAAATTGAAAAATCATATGTACTTAACCATTTATAAGAATCATTTCGAGATGCTTGTTTTTATTTTTGTTTTTAGCATATCACAAGTAGTTAGATTTTAATCCTAAGTTTTAGTGTTTTCTTTTTATCATCAATCACTTTTATATTGTCGAACTTCTTAGTCATTGGAAATATGATATATAATAAAAGTAAATAAATGCAAATTAATTGAAAAAAATAAAGTCAGTAAAAAGGAAACGGAAAGGAAAGAGCATCAACAACAACTAAATAATGTCTGATGAAAGACCAAGATAAGGAAAAAGGAGAACAAATAAGAAAAACAAGGTTAGTTGATGAAAGATGAAGGGAAGGAAACATGAGCAAAACTAAGAAAACCTAAAAGTTACAAGAAGGTGAACACGGTAAATAAAAAAGATATATGATACTTGTCTTTTATATACAGTACTCCTCCAGAAATGAGTTCTATTAATGGTTCATTGAGCTCTCCTCATGCTTCGTCGGGCTCTACTAGTGGTTCACTGAGTTCTCATGCTCCACCAACTAACTTTAGAAAATGCATGAGATTTCAAAATCCAATTTAGTAACTCACTGATTGATGAAGCGTATGAAGAGCTCGATGGAGCATGTGAAGAGCTCGGTGGAGCATGTGAAGAACTCGGTGGAGCATGTGAAGAACTCGGTGGAGCATGTGAAGAACTCAGTGGAGCATGAGGTCAGATAAGTGTAATTAGTGAGACGTACATAGTTAGATTAGTCGATCAACCAAGTGGAGTGCCCAAATTATTATGTAGAGAAGGTGGAGAGCTCATAAGAAAACCTTGGTACTTCGGTAAAGCATATAGATAGTTATATTGACTAATGTGATTCAAAATACTAAAACAATGTTGAAGAAAAAAAATAAGGAGTCAAAGTAGTAGAATAGAAAAAGAAAAGAAAAAAAATCATGATTATTATAGTAAGAGAACACATATAACAAACCAATCTCCAAGAGTTTTTTTAATGGACCTAAAACAACTATTTTATTTGCTTGATTCTTAAACCGACCATAATTGTAAGTTATTGGTTTTCCAATAATATGGAATTTCTTTTCTTATTTATCTAATTGAACTTACTTTTAGCTATATTTGTTCTGGTTCATCTTATCTTAAGATAGCACTCTAAAAATTTTGACACCTTCCTTAATTAACTCTGTTGCCTAAACCTCTCTCTAAGTATTGGAGAATGTCATTTGACTCAACAATTTCACAACCTATCTGATCCATACTAGCCAAAACTAAAATAGTTATTGTAATATTAATTTATTTTACGATTTTTTTAGATATAAGATAAGGAAAGGAAATTTTTTACTTTAGCTAATCCCATTCCATATTCATATATACCACAACACACACAGAGATATATAACTAAAGTGAAATAAAAATAATATTATTGTAAAGTTTGACAATGATATATAGTTAAATAAACAAAAATTTAAAGAAATGGTACAGTGAAACATGGAACGAACAATAAAAAGAAACCAATAATGAAAAGAATGTATTTCCTAAGAATGAAGCATTGGCGACAAAGTGATGACTACGTAACATCATCAACCTCTCTCTTTTAATATTTTGTTTTTGTCATTTTCTGTATATTTCAAAGTATAAATATAAAAGGGAAACGAAAAGGAAACTGATACAGAAAACATTGAAGTTCTAGAAATCATGTCAAATCAAGAGTGTTGCGTAGATTTATGGGTAGAATTCACGATGTGTTATGTCAGCAACCACTCTTCTTACTGCTTCCTCGAAGCCAACCTCGTCCCATTCACTACCCTGAAAATACACACCATTATTCTTATTCTTCCCAATACCTTTTTATATTAATTATCAGTTAAAACTTCATTCAAATTTTATAATTCATATTAATGCAAAAAGTGGGTTTTGTATTGAAATAAGTTATAAAAATACCATTTATCTTTGTATATGTCTATGATATGGATAGTTTGATATTTACCGTACGTGAAGTTTTTAAAATAGAGATGAAATAAGAAATTCTTTTGTTGAATAAAAATAAATACTGGATATGATTACAACCAGTTAATATTTACAAGTCATATATAATATATTAATAAGTTTGTGTAAATTTTGCATCATAAAAGTTAAAACTTTGTAGCTTTTATGATCTGGGTTTTTACTTCTGCAAATTATATTTCCTGACCATTGCTGCGAAACCCTACTCCATAGCTGCCGTCTCCATTAAGGTGGAGACCGAAGATCCGGTGGTTGTAATTACGGTTGAGATGTTCATAACGTTCATTGACGGTTTTATATTTATTTATTTATATGTTTAGGTTTTACGAGCATTAGGGGTTCATAAAATTACTCACATTTGGATCATGTAGAGATATGAAAACCCTGTACACACACAAATGACAAAGCAAATGTCTGAACATGTTACGTCGTGGAATGTTTCTTGGAACATACCTCAATAATCCTCAGCCTGAAGGTTAATACATTAATGGCTGTCCCTCCTTCTGTAATATGGAGGTTTGTGTTCGTGGAAATCAAGGTTACGTTCTGAACCCTTTCTAAGAACTCCAATATGCGAACCAATACATTAACTTCACTGCTTTGTTCTCTCACCGTCACTTCCAAGTTCACCATTTGCTCTTCTGATGAACTCGATTCTGATGCATGCAAAACCCGAATATTCAATCTTTCATTATAGGACCTGCCTCTGTCTTCCTCCCTACTACTACCAACTTCTTTGCCTGACAAAACTCTCATCAGCTGCTCATTTCTCATCTTAAGCTCTTCAATTTCAACCATCAAAGATCTCATCGTCTCCTTTGCTGCTGTAAGAACCCACCTTTTGTTTGTCTAGATTACCAAAGTTCAAACCAAGTGCTAAATGCATTAATTACTGATTAAAAATTATGTTAACGCATCATTAATTATTAATAGTGGTACAGTTTGGATAACAAATATAGCATCATCACAGATAAATATAAACTTAATCCTAGTTAACCATGACGTTGCTTTGTGAATTGAAATTTTGGTATATATACCTTTGTTCCAAGAGGAAGAAGTGCGCTGAGTTCCTGAAAACACTCACTGAGTTTTTCACGACGTTTTCTTTCGGATACCGTGTGATAGTACTTCTGGGAACTAATGGGGTGGGTTGGTTTAATAGTATGGCGTTCTCTCATTCTCTTTGAATTTAAGTTTTTAAGCAATGGAAATGATGTATTCTGCAGGTTTCGCCTGCTAAAGTTGGACTCCATGTGTGGGTTTATATTTGAATCTGGTATATATCTCACGACATCGGCAGCTCCAGGGTGTTTTACAGAATTATGAGGCAAAACTTGATGGGAAAGCTCCTGCTGAGAAGTTGAAGACAGGACTCGGATTAATGCTCTTACTATTTCTTGATGTTCACCCTCTGGTGTCGGTAAATGGCTTGGAAATGGAATGACTTGAGACAATGGTTGGTGAGAAATCGGTTGTGTGGGACCCACACCGAGGGCATCAGGGAAGTTGGAGTGGGAAGTTCCCGGAACATTGATTGATTGATTAAAGGTATTTGTAGATGATATTATAAAAGAAGATGATGACGATGAATATGGATTCTGATCAATTGATTGGAAACGCATATAGAAATCTTCTGGGAATAAATTCTTAAGGGCTGTCTCAATGTCAGCCTGAATAGTACACAAGTTAATAGTTTATGAGATGCCAACTTGAGGAAACAATGATTAAACCATTGACGCATCGATGTCATGAGAGTGTAGTTTTCTTACTTGAGGAATGTTGGAGAAGCCAAGTTCGATTTCTCCCTCTTTGCACCCCATGAAGACAGCCATCTGCGATCAACAACATCTGTAATAAATATAAATGTTCATTACAATTTAGGAAATGATTACCGATAAAAGGTTTGCAGTTTTTGTTTCCGATAAAAACGTATACCTCAATCCCTGCTTCCTGTATAACATTAAGACTATCAGAATTCTTTGTTAACTTGTTTTCTACTAAATGACACTCTAATTCAAAATGTATATAATTTGTAAAATGATTAATTACTTGAAAGAATTGTGCTTGAATTTGGGTGGATGTGATTGGTAGGAGATCCGAGAGTTTGAGTTGTATGTAGGGAAGTTGATTCTTGAAAGCAAGTCCTGGAACACACCTAAAATGGTAAAAAAAGGAAAAGGTAAAAGCGTTTTCCAGAAAGAAAGATTATGAATGATGGTGATGAATAATGCAGCACTTACTCATCACTGACATCAAACGTTAAAGCCCCATACTGATGAAAAAGGCTTTGAGAAGAAGTTGGTTTGTTGTTGAGAGCATTGTAGAAACCATCAAGAAAGAACAAACGACTGTGGAAAGAAAAGTAAATAAAAATGATAGCTAGTGAAGAGTAGAAGTTAAGAAAATATAAAGAGAGATATATACTTGGATAAAAGTGAGTGTTGCCATAGAGAAACGTAAGTGCAGGCAAAAGATTGGATGAGAGAACGGAGAAAATGAGCTCTGGGAGCTTGAGAGAGGGCAAAAACAGCATCCATGTTGCTAATTAAGGGTTTTGCATGATGATGAATATGTTTGTATTACTACTTATATTATTATGCATCGTCTCAATCATTATACTTCTCAACCTTATCTTTATACAGTTGATGGATAAAATTCCTGATTTGTATGTGTGAAGGGAAAGGAGAGTCCACATTAATAATAATATCCCATTTTGTTTTTCTATTTTCTAAATTAAATTATTGATATATTTTTAGAATAAAATGTCAAAGATTTTGATAAATATTGTCAAAATATAAGTAGTTCTTTGAAAACGTGTCCATTAAATTGGAAGATATGGACTACATATTAGTTCCCTTGTAGACAGCGACTGAATTGCCTTGTACCCTAGTGAGACTTTGAAGACTTATTTCCCTTTTGTTTTCCGTAATGGCAATCATGCAAAAATATTGGAACTTTTATAAAGTGAGATTTTAATTTATTTTATATATTATTAAAAAATAAAAAAATTTAATATAGAAAGACATCCAATACTATAATTACTATGCTAAAACATAAATTTTAAATCTAATTCAACTTTATATAATTAATATTTATTTTTATTTCTGTACTATAAACTTATTTCTATTTATAGTGGATAGAAGATTCAAAAATTGCAATTCCTTTTCTGACAAATGTGGAATCATAGGAACCTTCTGCCAAACTTTCCAGGAAACTAGGTCAAATCCATTTGCTTCCATTGCTCTGAATAGACCATCATATAGTGTGATTCAATTAAACTGCTCAATTAAATTTTACTAAATACAATAGAAATATTTTATAGACTTTAACTTGATTTTAAAAGCTTCATTCATAAGTCACTTATTGGTTATAAATTGAAAAACTGGCAACTTATAACTTTCTTCAAGTTTGAAAAGAATAATTAAAATTTTGATCTCTTTTTAAAATTAAAAATTAATTAAGGTTAATTAAGAAATGAAAATTGAATGAAAAACAATTATAGCTCAAATTTACAGATAATTAAAAATTTTAAAAACTAAAATTATGATAAAAAAAAGTTTAAGATTAAAACTATAACTTTTATAATATATAGAGACCAAAATTACAGTTCCTCTAATCACAAATATTAAACTTGATGATATAAATTTTGACAATTTTTACCACAAACCCTTAATTAGTTAACATGTTTCAGAGTCAGTAAATTAGTGTAATAGGATATATTTTAAATATATTATTGTAAACACATTCATTATACGTGTGTTAATTTTTTTTATGATAATAAAACATAATAAAATTACAATTACAAAAAATAATATAAATAATTCTTACAATTTAATTATATATAGTTTTATTTATTTTGTAGATGATTTTTATTTACTTTGTAGATTTTTATTTATTTAATTTTAAAAAATAGTTAAATTTAAGAAAATGGTTAAATTTAAATAAAACAATAAGTTGAATGGTAAAAGTGGAGAAAAAAAAGTGAACACCAACAAAAGAAATCTCCTTCTTTGTTTTATATATAAGTATATATAGTTTAATCATTTAATTTTATAAAATTATAAAAATTATTCAATTTTATAATTATAATATTAACAATAATAATAATTTAATCATTTTCTATTATCATAAAAAAAATAAACATACATGAGAGGCATGTGTTTTCACTTGTTGAAATATAAAGAAAACAAAATTATATTATGATTTTGAAGTTTGAAATATAAAAAACATAAAATATAACTAAAATTAAAATAAATTATTGTCACATGTTCTTCCTTATGTCACGTAACCAAAATTATTTACGTGGTAATGAAGTAATTAGAAAACATGCTGTTTTCTTTCTCCACCGGTGTGTGGTTGATGGTTGTCTTTCTGATTTGAAAAACATGTCTTTTCTTTTGGAAACATGTGTCTTAGTATGAGTAGTGGTCCATATTTATCATCTCTTGTTCACAAATATATTCCAATTTCTCAGTTCATGGTTTTAGGCATTTCTGTGTTCACAACTTGTGAAGATTAGAGATGGAACCATTTGTGTTTATTACTATTTTTGCAAATTCTTTTTGGAAAGATATTTGTTAATATCTGTAAATGAAACATTGACTAAATATTGCAATATATCACCTAAATTTTTCTATGTTCCTGTTTCCGGTTCTATTTGATTTTTCTAGTTTTAAATTTGTTTTGTTCTTATTATTGTTTTATAAGAGTGGAAGTCGTTCTCATTTTGAGGCAAACTATTCAAAATATATTATTGTTTTACCTTTTTAAACTAATTATATGCATCTAAATAATTGTGGTTACCTTTCTTAAAACCCTGTTTAACAATTAACATAAATTATTTTATTTTTACAGAGTTTTATGACACAATTAATATGATTTTTTAAATTAACATATATATCATATTTATTACAAACTTTAGGGCTAAGAAAATATGCTTATTTTTTTTCTATTTAATTGTAGAATGTATGATTTGGGTTAATATTAGAGAAATTATTTTAAAGAAAATAAAATAATTTATGCAAAAAGTTTAAAGTAATATTTATTCTTCACTTTAACTAGCATTTCATTTCTCAATTAATTTTCTTTATCTTCTCTTTAAATTTCTAGATTAAGCAATAATATATATTACTAGAATGCAACATTAGATAGATCAAGCTGAGCTTATCGAAATCTTAATTAAAGTAATTTTTTGTACTTGCAGTTGATTTTATCATATTCTTTTTTGTTTTATATGTGTTGATTTTAGTTATCTTAATCAATTGAGAAAGGAGAGCAGAATCATTGGATAGGTGTTGATTGTGTAAAGTCTTTGAATGTTTAACAACCCACTACAAACTTCACTATAAGAATTTCTTGATAAAATTTTGCTAATAGGAAATAAATTCTATAAATCAAAATTTATTAATAAATTTTAATTATGAACGAAAAATGTATTTGTAAAATTGGCTAATAAATTAAAATTTTTATTACTATTAAATTTTGTTAATAATTTAAAAGCTTTATTATTTGTTAGTAAGGTGCCAATATTTGTGTTTTGGATTTGATCTTGTTAATAATTAATTTTTAATGTATCAGTAATTTTTTTAATTTATTGATAATTAAAGTTTTTGAAAATTTTTTATATATAATTTCGTTGATAAAATATAAAATAATATTAATTGTGAATTAATTAAAAATAAGTGAGAAAAAAAGATTAAAAGATAGGAAAAATCAAGAAAGGATGACTATGACTGCATATGCATATGACTATAACTACAGGTGATGATAACTGCGTTATGTCAGGTCAATCACAATAAAAAAAATAAGAATCAATAACTTCAGACTAATTTTACAAAAGTGATAGGTTATGGATGAACTTTTATTCATACAATTTTGATTACCAATAAATTTTGTTATCCTTTAAAATTTTAAAACATAATCCCTCCTTCAAAACAACCTCATTTTTAAGTTTTATTTATTTTCCATGGATAATCTCAACAGATTTAAAGAATTAACTTTTCAGGCTGAATATTATTGAGGTAGTGTCCCAATCAACGTTGCATTGTACCACGCCAAATGTTAAATCATTTACCTCTATGAAAAATAATTACCAAAACATAACAAAAATATTATAAAATAAAATAAAATAAAAACTATAAAAAAATACTTATTTTATAAATTATGTTAATTATACAATTAAAATTCTTTTAATATTTATTATGCTAATTGATTTTTACTAATCATAAAAGTAAAAAAATAACTAACAACAAAATTAAAGGTTGTTTAATAATTTAAAATAAAATAAAAAGTAAGAAGAATAAATGTTTTTCTACTTAATTTTAAAAATTAAATATTATTTATATTCATACTTCTGGCAACCGGGATTGCAACGAGACGACGAGCCGAAAACAAACGGGTTGAGAAAAGATTTTGAGAGTCGTCACCATAATTTATTATGGAAAAACTATGGAAAGCCATAAAATAAGATATGGTTTACAAAAACTAGATTTTAGGTTCAGGAATCGGTTACGCGTAAGGAAGATATTAGCACCCTAATACGCCTGCCTCAAGGTAGTGCGTTTAATTAAATATATAAAATTGACATGGTTTTTTCGAAATATTTAATTTCCCCTAAAAATAATTATATAAAGAAACTAATAAGAAACAAAAAAATATTTTTTGTTTTATGAACCCGACAAGGATTGACCTTACTCTTACGTATATTGATTTATGATGAACAATTAGGAATCACGTAGTTCTTTATCCAGAAAAAAGTTTGTGAGTTTGCTTTTGTTTGGGAATTTTGAAAAGCGAACCCCAACAAGGATTGCCATTGTTTTTTTTTGTATTCTTCTATTTGAAAAAAAATGGTGGAAAAAAAAAGAAAAGGAAAAAGACCGATCATAAGCCGACGCGTACCCATGCTTTTTATTTTATGATTTGATATTTTTTTATAGGAAAATACGTGATTAGAATTTTTTTTTTGAAATTCTTTATTTATTATTTATTATTTATTTTTTAAGTAAAATATAAAAAAATATTATGCGGGAGATATAACCGATGCCAAAAGAAATGCGAAAAGATATTCTTTTTTATGAAAAAAAAAACATTATTGTTGTAGAGTAAAAAAAATAAAATCTTTTAACAAAAACCTTCAAAGTACAATAAAAAGTGAAGGAGAATAGTGCATAGATGACATCAGTTCTTCCTTGATAGTTATTTTTGGCAGAGTTCCTGAGAACTTACTTTCCTGTATATTCTCTCACACTCTTATTTATATACACACATTGTAATATTATTATGGTAATCTTGTCCGTGAATTAATTGACAACAAACAAAATAGGAAAAGAAAATGTCTTGATTCCAAGAAAAAGAAATCAAATAATATTCAAGACATTGATTATAATTATTGTCAGAAAATTTGTCCACTTTTAAATGTTATTTTAATTACTGTTTATAATTATTGACATAATATTTCAAAAAAATATTTTCCAATGTGTCCTGCATTAAGAAAATTTATTTTATTATTTTCTTTTTTCCTTTTTTTTACCCATCATTAATTATTATTCTTTTATTCTTTATTTTTATTTATTTACTTACGCGGACGAAATTGGATGTTGACAATACTCATAATTATTGATGAAATTTCTTTTGTTATATTTAGGATAAATTAAAAATATATATATGTAAGAACATATTTATTTGTCTTCCTTAATATGTAATTTCTTAAAAAAAAACTGTGTTGTTCATATACTGAAATATACACTTTTCAGATCTCAGATGGTTTATTTTTTAAACCCCATCAGAGAGCTTGTTCATTTGGTTGGATGATTTAATACAAGTAGCCCGTCTATAAGTTTGATTATACTAAATACTCTAGATGTTTTATGTGTTTGAATGTGATTTAATTTTTTTAACATTTTAACAAGAGAGTTTATGCAATTATGTTTTAATCACAATTAATTATCATATATTTAAATATGTTTGTGTTTGAATAGTTTTCTTAAGCAAAATAAAAACGAGAATGCTTGGAATAATCCAATTGAATCTTTCCTAATTGAGTGTTCAAAACAACAAAGGTACAGATACATATTAAAGTTCATATGAAGATCAAGGAGGATTAAAGATCAACATATACAAAGCTTCAATATATAGTTATCTTTCAAAGTTTATTTATAATCTACATAGAGATATTGAATTGAAGTTAAACACAACAACAATTTACATTCTTTCTATTCTTGTAAGGTTTCATAGCAAAAGATGAAAAGAAAGAGAGCATAAAAGAAACTGATGTTATTCAATGTAGTTGTACAAAGAGAAGAAATAGATCTATATGAAACAGATTCATGTAGACTCACTTGCACTATATATGGGTTATTACCTAACAATTTTATAGTAATCAAATAGTGTTATTTGTTGGTAGATGAGCGATAATCATTTCAAATCTTCACATTGCGAAATTAATGTAACTATGCTCTTTTAAGAGTGTTTCTTTGTTGACTATAAGGAGAATCATCCTATAGTAATTAAAATATTATATATTTGATAAAAAGTATAAATAAACATAAGTATATAAGAGGTATTAATATTATATATTTGATAAAAAGTATAAATAAACATAAGTATATAAGAGGTATATACGTTTCTTTATGAGAAAATCAAAGTTTTAACTTTCAAAATATAGTTAATTTTTTATCTAAGAGAATCTATAGAATGCAAAAATTATATACTTACATTACATCTACTCTCTTTTAAGAAGACCATCAACAATCTTAGTGTTTCCCAATACTCTCACTTACATTATTATGTATAATATACCATTATAACAGTAGATAGATCATAACATGATAAACAACATAAGTTATTGTAATTATAACAAATCATATTATTTATAATATATCATGTTATAATGAATTTAAATTTAACCATCACAAACTTTAAAATCAAATGTCTACAAAAACATGTTCATACTAATATAAGGAGAATTATAATCACAACGCTCATGACTCATAATACTTAGACATTTAACTCTATTTCTAAAAGACATGTGCATTGAGTACATCCAAATATTTTGCACTTGTCATACTATCTTCCACTCTCACAAAGTAATAACTAAAATTAATGTTTTTCTCAAATATGACAAGATAATTTTTTTTTTATATATATATATATACATGCTTCAATCCTATTTCATACAAAAACACTATATTATAAGAACCTTTATTGATTCTCAAGATTAAGTATTTTTCTTTATGTAAGTTAGATATTATCATAATCAAGATAATGTCTTCTAATTGAAGTACTTTCATTAATACACTTTCATCATATCAACATTTAAATACTTTACAACCTATCTTTATCATTCCCACAATTTAGTCATTATATTTATTACATTTAAACCTATTATTACCAATTGATCTACACATGTGCATAATTGTAAATTATTAAACATGATAATTCATCAAATATCGTTGTTAGCACCTAACACTAGTCTATTTCTACCTAGCGAAAGCAACACAAAGGTTCCTCGAATCTAAGTTCCAATTTGAACCCTTCTAAAATAGACTAACGCCAAACAACCACACATGGCACCCAAAAAAACTACTTAGTACTTAGTGCTCTCTGAAGTTAAACTGTGAGCCAAATCTTATAAAAAAATATAACTAAAATTGTTATATGAAGAAAGTAAAATATTATAATTAAAATTGTCTTTAATTTTAATTAACTGAGTGAAGATAAAATGAATTAAACCTTTATTTAAATTAAAAATATTTTAATATTTAAATCTAAAATAAATACGATAATGGAAATAAATGTTTAATACCCATCACGTGTCATATCTGATTTTAAAAGTTGGATATTATTCATAGTAAATTAATATTAATATTTTTAATCTAAAATTAGAATAAATAATATCCGAATGCAGATTTATCAACCATCCATTCTGCTGTTAAGTTATAATTCTAAGGTTTAACTAGTAGTTGTACACACAATTGAACAATGATTTTATTTTTTAAAATCTAAATTAATAGCTAGTCATTGATTTAAGTGTGATTTACCCAAAATAAATTAGAATGTACATCGAAATGAAAACTAATGAGAGGTTTTTCCTACACCTCACCAACATCATCTTGCACCTTCTTTCTTTTTTTACTTACAACTCTACCCTTTTTAGAAAAAATATTTTATTTTAAAAAAGTTGACCCATTTAATGACTAAATTGAAGCAGCAGCCCTACACTCCTTTTTAATTGAGTTCAGCCTTTACGTATTTTAGATTATTTTGTAAACCCTACACTCCTTCCTCCTCCTTGCCTCTCCTTGTCGCATTTCATTTCAAGCTCACATTTTTTCCTCCCGCACTCCTTTCCTCCTCCCTCATCATCAACTTCATTTGTTTTTAAGTTCTTTTGGTGTAACAATGTAGATTTTCTTCTTCTCAAAGAGTTAATTTCAAGCGTAGATTTCCTTAAGGTCATGCATTGAGTGTGATAAAATCTGTGCTTGTTTCGTTTTTATCTCTCTTATTTGATCTCTGGGGCCTTAACTCCACTTAGAGTTGTGGATTAGGCGCTGCCGCATATGAAACTGCAGCTACCGCATATGACACTGCGGCCACTGCACATGGAAGTGCGGTTGGGAACTGCACATGGAATTACAGTTCGGTACCTTTGCATGCACTTAAAAATGCGGATGAGGCTAGCCGCACTTCTACATGCGATTTACGGTGGCTGCACTTGGAGCTCTGCGCTGGCTTTTTTAGGGTTTCTTTTATTACTTTATTTTCTTTTATTATATTTAATTAAATTTGTTAAAAATTTATAAATTGTTATATTATTTATTATTTAGTATTTTTGATATTTATTTATAGTATTAAATTTGTTTAAAGTATATTTAATTTATTTTGGTTAATATTTTCTATAGTTTTTTTTGTTAATATTTTATATTTATATATTTTGTAAATTTTATTTTTATGTTATATTTTATGATTAAATAATATTGAATATGTTTTTGGAATATTTTTTTATTTTTTGATTTGTTTGTTATTTTATTTTAAAGTTAAAAAATAAGAAGAAAAAAGGGAATGCATGTAGGAAAACAAAATGAGATTTAAAGTTGTTGATAGTTATGAAATCATTAATTCATCATTAATTTTTATTTTGATTTTAATAAATGATTTAATAAATGAAAGATAAATGTGTAAAATAAGAGGTCTTAGTAAGAAATGGGTGAGGTGCAGGGAGGATTTATATCAATTGTTTATATTTTAAAATTAAAAAGGTTGCTTATATCAAGAACTCTAAATCTTAATCGGAGGCTGAGTGAGTGAGGACCAGGAACAGACAAGAGCGAGTGAGGAATAGGTAAATGGATCGTGTTCAAATGAAATGCCTGTGCATGTCATTGGTCACTCCCAATGGAATCCTTTTTGCAGAATGCTTCTTCAGTTTTCTTCAATTCATCACTTCCTACCACGCCTAAAGTTTCCCATTACCAGGTTCGCTTTTCCGTCCCATATAATCACAAACCCAGAGCCAGAAGGACTTTCATCTTGAGCATGGCACACACCCCAGGTGATATTTGTTGTACTTTTCATTGCAAAATTGAATCTTCAATAAAGTGCAAAGAAAGAAAACTGATACAATTGATGTGTTAACTGCCTTTTAGCTGTTGAGCAACACAGGGTGATAATACCCAACAAGCACGGTGAGAATCTAGTGGGCATATTACATGAATCTGGAAGCAGGGAGATTGTAATCTTGTGCCATGGTTTTCGCTCTTCAAAAGTTAGCTTTTTTCATATTTTAAGCTTTCACTTGTAAACCCATTTTACCCAATAAGTTTCATCGCTTTAATTTCCTAATGTTCAGCAAACAAATACCTTAGTGAATCTTGCTGCTGCTTTGGAAAATGCCAGATTGAGTTCTTTCCGCTTTGACTTTTCTGGAAATGGGTAAGTTTAAAAGTAGTACAAAACACAATCATAAATCCTAAAGATTCAAGTTGTTTGTTACTGTATTAGCATTATGGGCATTGATGTGATAAAAAAGAACTGGCCTTTTAAGGTTTGAATTGTTGAATTAAACTCATCAATATTTGAAAGCTTTAAGGTTGGGTTCCTATTGTAAAAGAAAAGAAGAGGAATGTATTAGATTAGATGAATAATGGGTAAGGGTAATTACTGCCACATTTTAAGAGCTGGGAATTGGAGCAACATAAGTTGTTATGCCTAGTTGATATAATTTAAGGCAATGCAACCTTTAGAGTCGTATTGGGGCTCTTCAACAGTGTAAAGACAGTCTTGAAGATTTGTTTTGACCAACTTCTACCTAAGGATTTCCAAGAGAGAAAAACAAGAAAAAATGAAATTAGTTTCTTCACAAGTTAAAATTAACTTACAAGTTAAAAAGCAAAAATTTAGAGAAACTATGAGAAAGATTTTATGAATTAGTTTATGTATAAACTAATTTTAAGTTATAGAGAAGTTTATTACATTTTTTTCTTCTTATTTTTGTTTCCTAAAAGTCTTGTGGGAAAGTTTATCCATACAAGTTCTTAGTAATAACAGCTCCAAAGAAACCAGTGAACCAAGCTTCTTAACAACAGGCACCACCGTTGACCCAAACTTCTTAGCAACAGTAGACTTGGGGATTACTAATATTGTATGGGATGTGATTTTCCAATGGAGAGATTTATCGGTAAACTAATTATATGTGACAGGATTGCTATCTTCACTGCCTGTTGAATTAATGTTTGAAGTCCCACATAAGTAGGATGAGATACTTACGCCTTAGGGCTCTTCCTCGTGATTGATTAGTTTTTTTGGGTTGATCTCTCCTCTTATGCTTAAGTCCTAACAATTAAGCAATCTTCAATTCAATACTTTTTAAGCATATATATTCCTGATACTTTGGCCACATCACATTGTGTTAGGATTCTCAGTGATAAATCCTAACCGACTCTCTCACTCACTGTTATAAACTCTCCACCGAAAAGATGAATCAAGAATGTGTATATTATTTACTGTATTGACATGTGTAAAACACGTGTCTATCGAGAGCCTAACCTTCCTCCACCGGGTCTAATACCGGCCTATACAAAGTATGTAATTCTCTGAATCAAAACAATACAATTCTTATTTCTTTTTATACTCATATTCCCCGCCTTTTCCTAGCTGCCGATGCAGTTAGGAATTCTACTCCTCTACTCTCTCTTCTTCCTTCTCACATAAACCTTCCAGCCTCTAAGACATTGAATGATAGGTTGAAAACTCTGGTAGTTTCTCTCTCCATTTACTGTGTTACATGAAGTGCAATTTCTGCCATTTGGTCTTTATCATAGTTTTGCTTCATTCTATGTTTCCTTTAATTTAGTGTTGGATTTTCCTTCTAGGGAAAGTGATGGCTCCTTTCAGTATGGTTACTATTGGAGGGAGGCTGAAGATTTACGTGCTGTAATTCAACATTTTCATGAATCAAACCGTGGAGTTAGTGCCATTGTTGGGCACAGTAAAGGTATTTTAAATTATTTTCTTCAATTTCATCTTGCAAGTATCTCTACCAACAAGAAAAAGGTCGTGAAAGATAAGTCAGATAACACTCGGGTTGATTTAATAATCATTTCCCAGTAATTGATAATGTTATGAGTTCCTACTGGCTTGACTGTAAAGGTAGAAACCATGAATGATGCAGCATGAAGAGAATTATGTTGTTTCTGGCATAGAACCAGAATCAGCTCATCACTACTTGGTACTTAATACTTAATAACTTTCTTGTCTTCTATTATGAGCTAATGCAACATATTAAAATGTAATTTCTGGGCTGCTTGCCAAAAAAGCCTGCTATAGAGGAAATTGAGAAGCATCTTTTATCTAAACATAGTGTTTGTGAATTAGGATTATAGAACAATAGGTATGTGGAATGCGGGTTATATAGTTCCTAAACTAGATATATTATAGTAATAGGTAAAATTGATGAAAAGTTCCTTGACTTCTAATCTTTATTGATGGTCAATTTTTTTTTTTCATTCGTACTCAGTGAAACTTAACTTATTAGTTCAGCTTTGCCTCATACATCTTCTCAAATTGCTTCTCTGAAATTGCATGCTAATTGGACTAAAATTAGTCATTTATGGCTATTGGTGCAGGAGGTGGCGTGGTGCTTCTTTATGCTTCTAAATATCATGACATTAAAACAGTTGTCAACCTATCTGGACGCTATGATCTAAAGGCAGGAATTGAAGAACGCCTCGGAAAAGATCACTTAGAAAGAATTAAGAAGGATGGTTTCATTGATGTGGAGAGATCAGGTAACTTGTCATTTAAGGACACTAGTTTCAATGATAGTGTTAGACTTTACAGCATGTTGTAAGAGATAGTGTGAACAATTTGAGTGACTATCAATTTCTTGATTTTCCATTTTGAAGTTATGGTACGAGTGTATTTTCTGAAATTAGCAAGCCTGGAATTACGGTTTGTCTTGCTTTTGCCATGCTCTTGTAATTTGGAATTGGTATTTGAAACGCTCCAAAATATGTACATCTATACTAGTTTTGTAGATATTTATACTCAGAAACTATACAGACCAAGTTTTCATGTATTATCTTAGAACTTTAAGCTCTTAAAATACATATATAAAGTCTTAACGTTCTAGGAATATATTAAATCATGATCCTAGCTCTGCTTGGAATGCTTTCCCTAACTATAACAACATTTGTTTCCGTAAAAAGTACAATCATACTAGTAGCACAATACAGAACATCAAGGTGAGCTAATGTTTTAAACATTCACATCTCTCGTGATATAATACTGTTGGCATATATATCATTCAAATTACCACAACAATCTCAATCCCAAGAACAATATAATCACATATATCTTATCTTGGAGAACCATAATAACAACAAATTACACCCAATTCACAATCTAAGATTACATAAATCCTTAATTGTATTTTCTATGACATTAGGGTAATTTGTGACATTTGACACCTTCCTAGAAACTTGTATTAAGTATGTCGTACCTCATAACAACAACTGATCCATTAGAAGTACTATTGTTAATTCAATCCCAATTTCCTATGTTGGGGTGGTTCTTTACACCTACTATATAAAGTCTAGGGCAAGAACTTTCTTCAGCTTCTCACTAGTGTGGTGCTTGAGAAACAATTCTTGGTGGATGCAATGATTACCACTACCTTAGCATCACTCAAGCAAGATAGAGAGAAAACCCATATCATAAGCAATTTCATTATAGGTACAGCTACCCAACTTAAGCAATCTTAACCATCCTCACTCAATTCAATCATAAAAAATATAGCTATAATGTAACCGAACCTTCCAATAAGCTAACTCAAACTAAAATTGAGGAATCCAAACTCCAATTCAATTCAACATAGGTATACACCAATTAAACCATAACTCTACATATTTCCAATTCAAAGAAAACGGAACTCCAATCAACAACATTCATCACATTTTAACGCATCTAAATCAAATTAAATGATTAGATGTAAGCTCTTAGCTCCCTTTACCTGGAGATAGCTAGCCTTGCAAGAAAAACAACTTCCAAAATTGAAATGTTTTCAAAGAAATCTGATAGAACCTCCCAAGTTTCAACCTATACAATCAACGTCTTCACTTGGTCCAATTATTAGTACAATCCTATTTTTCAGTTGATTTTAATAGATGGAGTATGAACTTCCATTGACTCAAGAAAATTAGGAAGGGATAGTACTAATGGGAAAATACGAACTTACCTAGATCAAGATTTTGATCAATCTCGTTGCTGCTTCATTATTGATGTAATGAGATTGTGGAAAAGATGGATGATCAACCAAGAATCTTAGAGAGAGGGTAAAATATTTAGGAATTCAGAAAGATGAAATTTAGAATAAGTGAAGAATTAATTGTTTTGAATTTATTTACAGACATTTTTTGCAAGACATCTTCATTCTCCATTAAATTTTGAAATCATATCTCTTAACCTAATAAACTCGGTCTTATTGTATTATTCTATCCTATAAGCACAAAGTTCTTGCTGCAGTACTTCTTTGCATTTCATTCTCTTAAATTGATAATCAAACAAAACGAAAAAAGAATCATGGAGAGGGGAAGACACAGAAGAAAAAAATGAAAAATCTGGGCGATAAAATAATTATCTGCAACTGTTTTTAATACTTGGACCATTGAAGATTGATTGGCGGTTAGCCATCACAGGTAATCTGACTGATGACACGGATTTTCTGTTTTAGTTTGTTTAACTAGACACAGTATTGAGTTATTTTAATTAATGACCATTTGGGGTTGGGTACATCTACTTTGCAGGAAATTTTGAGTACCGTGTGACATTGGAAAGTTTGATGGATCGCTTAGAGACAAATATGCATGAAGCTTGTCTTCAGATTGATAAAGAATGCAGGTGAGAAAATATTTTGTCCTGTTCCTTTTGATTAACCCTTTTGCATCTTTTTGATGGTAAAGTATGCATGTAGAAATTACATAGTTTATATAAAGAAAATATAATTGGGAAGCAATAAACCATAGGATAATTTATGATGGCATTAAATTTAGGAACCTATGATTCAAAACTCGATAGTGCAAAGAGTAAATCTTTTGAGTAGAGGGTGTTTATATGAATTTTCCATCATGAACATAAGTTCTAATCTCAAGTCATATAATGTATTACAGGGTCCTAACTGTTCATGGTTCTTCGGACAAAGTTGTCCCTGCTGAAGATGCATCTAAATTTGCCAAGATTATACCAAACCACAAGCTACATATAATAGAAGGAGCTGATCATTCATTCACTGGTCATCGAGATGAATTAGCATCTGTTGTTGTGAACTTCATAAAGGAAACCCTGCACCAGGATAGGGGTACTGCTAGCTAGGTATTTTTGTCTTTGCTAGAAGCATTTGAACTTACCTTTTTCTTGCAGTTTCAAGCCAGTTGAATTTACTACTGATGACAAATTTTTTCACATGGATGAATCTGCCTATAATGTTCTACAATATATATTAGCCTTCTAACTTTTGGTTATTAAATCAGTGAACTTGCATCAGAGTGAAAATAATGGCAAGACCAATGTCTGTCCTTGTTATCTACATGATCAGATGTACTGGGTTATTTTGACATTATCAATTATGACGATGCAAATTTGGATTTGAACTTAGTTTAATCTCAAAATAAGCTCTCCTATCGAAGATTGTATATTTGCTGATAATTGAATGAACAACAGCTACTAGAATGAGTTTTTGGTATATTAGAATGAGTTTTGAACTTAATTTAACACGATGTAAGAGTTGCTCTTTTTTATATACATTATTTTGGTTATTAGGAAATGTGTAAATTTTAATACATTATCTTTACATTGAAAATTGCATATTTTAATTGAGATAAGAAAGATTAAATATTTGTGAATGTTTTATACCGGCATAATTGATTCAATAACAATACATATATTAATACTATCTTAAATTTGAGTTATGGTTTAATTCAAGTCAAAAGTTGACTTAAGAAACTTACTTCCCATTTGCATGCAGTATTGATCATTTGACTAGTGGCAGCTTCTTCCAGCATTCAAATAAATTCTGTAATTATTATATATATAATCTCTTTGTTTTTTTTTAATTTTTTCCTTTTAATTATTATTTTTTAAATTTAAATAATTATTTATAATAATTTTTTTTAGTTTTATTATTTTAGTAACTATTCTTTTATTTAAATAATTACTTATTATAAAATGATTATTTATTATTTTGTTATTTTAGTAATTATTTTTTTAAGTTTAGATAATTATTCATAATAAAAAAATTATTGATAGTAATTTTTATTTTAATAACTAAAATTTATTTTATGTATAATTATATATATATATATATATATTGTTTTTTTAATTTTACTTAATTATTTTTAAAATTTAAATAATTTATACATATTTAAAAACATTAAGTATATTTTTAATTTCTTAATTTTAATGTAAAATTAAAATTAAGTTCTGTTTATAATTGTGTTTAACATGTTAAATATATTTCATGTTAATATATAAATTATTTATATTTGACACATTTTCATTTAATATTCATTATAAAATGTTTTTGAAGAGAGTTGTCAAAACGGGTAACCTGGCTCGACCCACTTCGGTCTACCATGGGTTAGTCACTTAGTGAGTCAATCTAACCCAGTTCACTTATTAGTAAGCTGAAAAAATTCGAGCTCGACTCAATCCACCACAGGTTGATAGGTTAAACGGGTTGATTTATTAACTCACTTAATTATAAGTTTTTAATAAAAAAATTATAATTTTTTTTAATTTAAATCTAAATAAATTTCACTCTAAAATGATGTTAAACTCCAGAAATAATTCAAAATAAAAAAAATATCATACAATTAATCAAAAAACAAACAAAAAAACAAACTAATAAGTTTTTATTATTGATAATTTTTGTATCACTTGTCCATCTAAAATATTTTTCTCTCTTAGAAAACATCTTTTTTGTTTATCCCATCTACAATATAATAAAAAAAATACTAACTAATAATATTAAAATACATTAGGTGAATTGATAAACGAACCCGACTCACCACGAATTGAAACTGAATTAAAAATACCACGAATTCAAAAAAGTTACTTTTTTTTTAAATCTAATAGTTCTCAAACATACGGTGGACCGGGCTCGCCGGGCTCGCCGTTGGAAACTGTTTTGACATGATTACCTTTCATAAATATTAAAAAAAAATCAATGTAATTAAATTAAAAAAACTTTACAAATGGTAAAGGAATTTGGATCATTGTAATTCATGATCACATGATATGCTTACTGTGTTCACGGGTTCTGTCGTAAATTTGTCTCCCAGGTTTGTTGAATTCAGGAAGCTTTCACCACCAATCTTTTCTGGTATTTCTCGCAAGCCGATTCGCATTTCAAGAAAAACCCTGAGCTGGAAGATGGCCCAACCTTCCCAAAACCCATGTGAGTTAATTTTCTGGTGTTTGATACTTTATATGAGAATCGATGACATAAGTGACTCTGCCTACAATCATTGGCTAGCAAAACTTCACCTTTAAGTACTCGAAACAGCTTCGTGTGGTTTATTTTGAAGCTACCAATTTAATCCATTGTTAAAATATTCCAGAAATGGTTGCCTGAATGTTGGCTGAATGCTTTTAAGTTGTTTACAGGTTCTGTACATTTGTGGCACTGAGATCGTGCGCTTGTCTGCATTTTACCTGGAATTACAATGTAAATTTACATGTTAAACTAACAGTTTTAAATGGGTTCCATAGTTTTATGTTCAAAGTTTTTTGGGTTGTCTTCCTCTCAAATGTTATTTTGTTTAAAAATTTTGCAAGAAAACACATTTTGTTCAAGTAACAATTCTGGGTTGTTGGAGCCACAACACCTTTCACGCTGACACAAATTGATAGGCAGTTGAACACCATTGGTTCTTCTTTATCTTCCTATTCCCTACCAATTAGATAGTGTTACCAAATCCAGCTTAAAGTTAAGCTTCTAATTCCACCATTTTTCTTTTTTGTCAAAATTTGCTTCTACATCTTCCTCAGTTTCAGACGTGTTGAAGAATGTCTCAATTTTTCTCACACTGCTTTCCATATGTATAAATCAAATTGATTTTATGTTCATTGTCAAGGGCCTCTCCCCTTTAACTGTATCACATCCAGAGTTCACCTCATCGTAGATATCTGCTGTCCTTGGAAACATGATTTCATACATTCCATGATTTATTATTTATTGCTATGCTAATATAAATATCATGCAAAGAAAGTATCCAAAGTGGTAAAGAGTGACAATGGTTAATCTGACTTGCGTGGTGAGTATTAAATCAATTACAAAGAAAATGACTTCCCACTCTTGAATTACTTTTTTCAGCTCGGCAGCAGAAAATCATAATTACTAAAAAGAATGACAGTAAGCTGGTTGGTATTCTTCATGAATGTGGAACCGAAGAGATTGTCATCTTATGCCATGGTCTTCGATCCACCAAGGTTAATTTCCCTTTTAATAAATTGTGAGCTCACTTTTTTTATTATTATGTAAATACTATTAAAAATTAATATGACATCTCATCCCATTATCCATACGTATTAAATAACTTGATTAATTTTTTTCATTGTTTAATTAAAATTTTCTATCTCCAGGAAGATACTATCATGATAAATCTTGCTTCTGCTCTAGAGAATGCAGGAGTCAGTTCTTTCCGCGTTGACTTCAGTGGAAATGGGTAGATATCTTGTATTACAGGATAAATTGTGAACCTGTTTGTTTTTGTATTCAAATTATGCAACCAGCTTCACTTTTTGTTGTGAATATGTTACTAGATTCAAAACTATTCTAAAAGTTCCAAGCTAAAAATCTTCAGAGATTCTGCAATGCAAGATGTTCTAAGGTTTACTTATTTTGTGCAGTTGTTGGCATACGTTAGTAACAATTGTGAAGCATATGATATGATTTTCTCTTTAAGGAAACAGATACTGGATATTTATATATTCACATATGCATCGGTATAGTGTATATGCAAACGCTACTTAACATTATGTTAATTTACTGAGTTATTTATTCTTGGAATATAAATTTCTCAACTGTCAAGATATAAAAAAATTATCTGTTTTACCAAAAAATAACACATTAGAGGTCATTGATAATATATATTTAGTATTTTATGCAAAAACATGATTAAAACATCAGTTCCGCCTTACAAGGGAATTTGGACACATACTTTTACTTTTTTTCTAGTTTTAACAAAGTAATTATTTCCTTTGACAATAGAAAAGTTAAAACCATTTCGTGATGAATCACCACTAGCTGCTCCACCATGATCTATGAAACTTCTTCTACCTAATCTTGATCACTAGTATTGTTTAGCTGTTTCATTTTTTATTTAGTCGTTGAGTTTTCCTTTTAGGGAAAGTGATGGTTCATTTGAGTTTGGTCACTATTGGAGGGAGGTTGATGATCTACATGATGTCATTCAACACTTTCATAGAGCAAACCGTATAGTTACTGCAATTATTGGACATAGTAAAGGTTTGTTGTTTACATCCTTACGTGCAGATATAATTTTGCAGATGATCAAGCACTAAAGTTTTAATCCTGTGTTAGTCCATACTCTAAATACAAAACTTTTATTCTTAATGTATTGAGTTAGCCTGTGGAAGTTCTAAACCGAAACTGTAGTAATTTTTATCTTATCTATCAGCCTATGAACAGCTTTAGTAATAAAACTTAATAAAAGTATAAAGTGGGTTTATGTGAAATTTTGTTACTTGTATCCTGATACAGGAGGTGGCGTAGTGCTTCTTTATGCTTCTAAGTATCGTGACATTAAAACAGTTATCAACATCTCTGGACGCTATGATCTGAAGGCAGGAATTGAAGAACGCCTTGGAAAGGATTATTTGGAAAGAATTAGGAAGGATGGTTTCATTGACCTCATGCGGTCAGGTAACTTTTCATTTAACGACAAAACATTTACACGCCTCTTACCGCACTTTGTTAGAGATAGTTTGAATAAATTCAGTGTCCATTAATTTCTAGTTCCCTACATCAGATTTATTATGCATATTTGTTAAAACCATTAAGTCAATAAACATGGCTTTTTGCTTTTGCTATACATTTTATACCAAAATTATAATTGGGGAATATTCTATCTTTTTAAGCACAAAGTTCTTGCTGCAGTACTTTTATTTTGCCACAGTTCATTCTCTTAAATGTCTGATAACAAAAGAAACCCCAAAAAGGAAAAGAAAAAGAAAATTTTAGGCAATAATTATACTTCAAGATTTGTTGGCAGCCTTCATACGTAATCCGGCACATTACATGACATTCTCTGTTTCTAGTTGTCTAACATAGGCACACACTTTTTTACATTATTATACGACCATTTGAGGACATCTCATTGCAGGAAGTTTTGATTACCGTGTGACTTTGGAAAGTTTGATGGATCGCTTAGATACAAACATGCATGAAGCATGCCTTCAGATTGATAAAGAATGCAGGTGAGCACAATTTTTTGTCTGATCTCTTTTTGCGTCACCCTTTGTATCTTTTTTTGTTTACGAAGAATGAGCATGGAGTTTACAGAGTTTGTGTTACGATCTAAGGTAGGAGTAATAATAAGGGTTGGAAAGTATATGAGCAGAGAGAATATTTAGTATAAGTTAATTAGAGTAAATAAATATAGTATAAGTTAATTAGAGTAAATAAATATATATTTAGGGAAATATTCAATATAAGATATTTATAATTAAGGATATATGCTAGGATAATATACGGAGAGATATTTATATTAAATATAGGGATATTTATATTAAATATTAAATATAAGGATATTTATATTAAATGCAGATATATTCTAGAGGAATATTTAATAAGAGATGGGCGGGAAATAATTAATATAAGTAAGGTTAGAGTCCAGGGTTAAAGACAAGCTTTTGATTATTGAGTTTTGTGGCAGACATTATTGTCTTGTGAGGGAGGTTATGCTCTCAAAGTAATTGAAGGAGGTTATGCTCCCAATTATTGTTTACCCTTGTTTATTCAGATATTACCATCAATAAAAGAGATTCATTCATCCATTGTTATTCGTTTATTGTTCTAATACGTGTGTTTATTGTTCTATTACGGGTGAGAGAGTGTGAAAGGTTGTATTTGGCTAGTTTACGTACTCAGGTACGTAACAATTGGTCCGACCTGCCGGATCATCATGGAGGGAAGAGTGAATGTCATTGAAGGAAGATTGGAGGTCATAGAAATCTCCATGGGAGGACTGGAGGCAGCAGTCCAGGAACTGGTGAAGGTGATGGGAGAGCGAGGTCGACGACATGAGGGAAATCCTGATGGAAGTCAGGGGTCTGTCAACGGGAGAAGGAATGAGGAGGACGAGAGAGATGGCAGCAGGCTAGATGGTGGACACCGAGAGGAGCAACTGTATTGGAGGAGAAGGGTAGACTTACCCATCTTCGAAGGAAGCGATCCTTTGAACTAGATCAATAGAGCGGACAAATTCTTTGAGCTACAAGGAGTGTCGGAGGAAGAAAAGTTGCGCCTAGCCTATATCAGCATGGAGGGAATCGCGGGACACTGGTTCAGATTATGGAGGGAGAAGGCCAGGAACCATTCGTGGGCAGGATTAAAGGAGTCAATGGTGATCCGTTTTGGAGGAAGAAACCGGGGAACCGTCTTCGAGAGACTGGCGGCCTGTAAACAATCAGGAACCGTGGAAGAATGCATCCAAGAATTTGAAGTCTTGGTCGGCCAAACGGAAACAATGCCCGACGCACAGCTGATGGGGTACTTTATGGCAGGATTGCAGGAGGGGATCTGTAATCAACTCAGATTACTTGATCCGCGGGAGTTGATGGACGTTATGAGACTGGCAAAGGATGTGGAAGAGTTCCAAGGGGGCGTGAAGGCTGGGAGCGGAAGTGTGATCGAGAATCAATCTGGAGAAAAACCGAACGGGGTGGATACGCGACTGGAGCTCAGTCGCCCGAACCAAGGCCGAACGGTAACTGCCGTGGAGAGCCGAGCGGACATCACGGAGAATGTGGGGACCGGACGAAAGGAAAGAAACGTGAGGGATCTACCTTATGAGGAATATGAAAAACGTAGGAAAGAAGGAAGGTGCTTTAGATGCGGCGAGCGGTTCGGTCCTGCGCACCGTTGTCCGGACAGGAGTTTGAGAGTCCTGATATATGCAGAGGACGACGAAGAATTTCCACCACCCAAACCTCCAGACTTGAATTGATGAGGAGCCATGAGATCAAGCTCCCCAATCCAACCTTGGGGACAAGGTTGTTTTGCAGCGAGGAGTAATGTTATGATCTAAGGTAGGGGCAATAATAAGGGTTGGAAAGTATATGAGCAGAGAGAATATTTAGTATAAGTTAATTAGAGTAAATAAATATAGTATAAGTTAATTAGAGTAAATAAATATATATTTAGGGAAATATTCAATATAAGATATTTATAATTAAGGATATATGCTAGGATAATATACGGAGAGATATTTATATTAAATATAGGGATATTTATATTAAATATTAAATATAAGGATATTTATATTAAATGCAGATATATTCTAGAGGAATATTTAATAAGAGATGGGCGGGAAATAATTAATATAAATAAGGTTAGAGTCCAGGGTTAAAGACATGCTTTTGATTATTGAGTTTTGTGACAGACATTATTGTCTTGTGAGGGAGGTTATGCTCTCAAAGTAATTGAAGGAGGTTATGCTCCCAATTATTGTTTACCCTTGTTTATTCAGATATTACCATCAATAAAAGAGATTCATTCATCCATTATTATTCGTTTATTGTTCTATTACGTGTGTTTATTGTCCTATTACGTGTGAGAGAGTGTGAAAGGTTGTATTTGGCTAGTTTACGTACTCAGGTACGTAACAGTTTGTGTAAAAACTAAAGTTAAAACCAGTGATAATTTTTTAAAGAATGTGATTTTTCCCCTTTGTAATCGAAAATTATGTAGAATTTGTAGAAAACACTATTTAAACCGTTATTTTTAACCTAGTGATTGTAATTATATGTTTATATTTATCACAATGACCAAGAGTTCTTATCTTATATAAGGGTTATATAGGGGGCGTATCTAGTGACAAAGTCATTTTTATATAAGGGTTATTGATTTTTGTCTATATAACTTGGATCCATAATGCTGTTAACACATTAATTTCTTGAAATGTCCGTTGTTTTGCCTTCTCTAAACTGGATACGAGAGATGTCCCTCTAATTATTTCACAGGTGCTGAAAATTACGAAATCAGAGGAGGAAATTTACAAGATTTAATATCCACTCTTGATATTTGAAATAGAATTGTTTAGTTTCAGGTTTTGATTTACTCTCTAGTCAAGCAGGGGAAACCATTACATGCACAAATTTATGAATACTTTTGTATTTAATTGAGGAATTCTTATTTAATAGTTCTTAGAGTAGTGATTTTGAGCAAAGGGAGTTTACACTAGTGAGAGATGATGATAAAGGTAGTAGGGTGGTCTTGTGAACAATATTCTTAATAAAGCTACAAATTCATCACATACTGTTAGGAAACCACAGGACAAGTAATAAAATAAGAGGAAAAGAGAATATAGAAAGGATCACAGATCCTGGTTCATTGAAATCAAGGCAAAAGCAGAAAGAATAACCTACTGCCCAGAGCTAGGCTCCTTAAGAGACCAAAACGGTACTCTCCACTCTAATTTTGTTCAAAAAAAAGAATCTTCACCCCCACACACTCCCCTGACACTATAAAGGTAATAACAAAAAAGGAAATCTTCTAGGATCCTCCAATTCTCTCTGTCTAACTAATTCTGTCCACCTCAGTCCCTTTATTTTTTTCTCCTGCTATAAACTTGTCCCCATTTCCTTTGCTATTTTGTTTCTTTGTCCAATATATTGTTTGGCCCAACAGATATTTGGGCTGTATCACATACATACATCCATATAATTGCTAATCTCAAATCACATAATGGATGACAGGGTCTTCACAATTCATGGTTCTTCAGACCCAGTTATCCCCGTTGAAGATGCATATGAGTTTGCCAAGATTTTACCAAACCATAAGCTGCATATCATAGAGGGAGCTGATCATTCATACACTAATCATCAAGATGAATTGGCCTCTGTTGTTGTGAACTGCATAAAGGAAACCTTGCTCCAGGATAGGGTTACATCTGGCTAGGTATCTACCTTTGCCAGTGCCATCTATCTGAACTTTAATTTGTTTGACATCTATTTTTCTAAAGATGTGCAATTGTGGTAGATCTTGCAGTTTTGAGCCACCTAAAATTGCTCAAGGTGACAAAATCTCTATTACGGATGAACCTGTCTATAAAATTGCAGTTAAAAAAAATTGTGAATATTGCATCGTGGTGAAAATAATGGCGAGAGAAATATCTGCTACTGCTATTGGTCTCTGATTAGATGTACAAAGTCATTTTGACATTATATATATTATGAAATGCAATATGCAAACAGTTGTTATGGTGGCATATTGTAGCGTTAGTGGGGGTTAGCCCCACATTTCAAGGGTTTGGTATTTATATAAAAGAGTGTAACGAAAGCCTATGGCGATGTGGTCACCAGTTTGAGTATTTTAAAAATGTTGAAAGTATTTGTATTCTTACACTCTGATACAAAAAACATTTACAATGAGTTCATTATATTTTTGTGGCTAAAGTTGCCTCTTATCTGAACTTTTAGTTCAAGTTTGGTTTGGTCCTTAATTTTAAAAAGGTCCACTTTTTTATTTAAATTGTTTCATAATTTGTGATGATACTGCCAAGTTGATTAAGTTAGTGTGATACATAAGTTGATAATCAACCTCGTATATTAGACTATTTAGGGATTAAAATTGATTTTTGTTAACATATACAACATTTTTTAAAAGTTGTCTTAGTATTATTCTTTTAATGTTTTTTTAATATTTTTATAGACATTAATTTCTGTAACTAATTTAAGGAGAAAAACAAAGTTATAGACATTAATTTCTTAAGGAGACAGTTTTATAGTTTTTAATAAGCAATATATATATATATATATATATATATATATATATATTGATTAAGTAATTATTTTAAACAAAATAGTTTATTGCGCATTAAAAAAATTTATTTTATTTTTTTAAGGATTAAATATGTTTTAAATTTTTTAACTTTAAAATAAAATTGAAATTTGTGTATCTAAAATTTTAATACATTTTCATCTTAAAAATTTAAAAATATATAAATATAATCTTTTTAATTTAATTATATTTAACCTTTTTTTTCATGTAAAATGTATTTCTAAACTCACATGTTAAATATGTGTTAAATTCAACATTAACGGAAGAATATATTTAATATGTAACAAAATTTAATATTATTAGATTAAAAAAATTATATCTATATTAAAGTTCAGAAATAAAAATATATTAAAGTTTCAGACAAAATCAATTTCAATTTCACATTAATTTAGTACTAAAATTATATTTAACTATTTTTTAAATTTATTTGTGTTTTAATTTTGTTAATGAAAAATAGGAATAATTTCTTTTTAGCAACTTTTCTTCGAACATTCACTTTTTTTATTGTTGAAATTAATGTTATGTAAATGGGATCAGTAATTAATGTTCCAAGTAGTAACTGATTGAACCGTTAGAATAGTTTAACTGAACATGAACCCTGATATAAGTAATCTTCTAATATTATATGTAACTGATCCTGTTTAAATGCCAAATTGATTAAATATCATTAGTTTTGGTGTTGAGTTTAATATCTATGTAGTAACCCTTAATAAATTTAAACCAACAAAGAGGTAGTTTTAATTAATTTTTACGATATTAGTTAAAGTTTTAATTTTTACAAAAGAGGGAGTAATATTGGATAATTTGTCATTAAGTGGGCGATTCCATCAGACAAGAATGCCCTCACATTACACACGGAGGTTGAATTATAAAAAAAGCAGGCTTTGTGGCACTGTAAACTCAAATTCAAGAGAGGTTTCGCAAGCAAGCATGCCAGCAATTTCGCATCCCAGAACTTGAAGATGGCACAAAACCCATGTGAGTTATTTCTTTTGAATTTTATTTGATAAGAGCTTGATGTTGAGAGTTTGTGGGTGTTCTTTAACTCTTCAAGAACTCCTTTTTACATAATTTACAAAGAAAACACTGTGTATGGAAGCAAATTACCTGTGAGATGTTGGAAGCGTCACACCATCTTACCCAACCTGTCTTTTCTAATCAATTGCATTCTTGCCAAGTCTTTCTCACGTTTCAAGTTTGAATTTTTCTTATTTGCATGTTCAATCTTTAGTTTATTTAAGATTGTCTCCCAATTCTTATCACACTGTATACCTTATAAAACAAATTTATTTTTTGTTCACAGTAAAGGGACTTCTCCCTTGTTCACCTCACTGTAGCAGTCAGCCGTCCTTAGAACCAGCCTTTCATTCCGTTATTTGAGCTAATTTTAAGCCAAGTATTAGCCTTCACGTACCAAAAGAAATAACATGCAATGGAATGGAAATATTCACAATCATTCTGTCTATGTTTTGTGTTTCAGACAACTCGGTGATTAAAGAGAGTTTTATAAACTGCAGATCTCGACTAAAATGATTAGTACTTTTGGCATACCAAAATAATATTTTTTAACATGTTCTTTGACAATTTATTGCAAATTACAAAATTTTTTAGTAGAATCTTTGTTGTTTTGCTACCATTAATGATTTTATAACTTTTAATAAAGTTCATCATTTAGTAGAGAATATGTCAGGAAGATTGTGTTAGAGAGTGAGCTGCTAACGATCGTTGTGTGGTATTGGTAATTAATTGCAATGGTTAAAAACAGTAGCATATTGAATATTCAATTAATGTAAGAGAAATTGACTTCCAACTGTTAAATTATTTTCTCAGCATTTTTGCAGAAAAAAGTCATAATACAGAATAAGTATGGCTATAAACTAGTGGGCATCTTACATGAATCTGGAACCGAAGAGATTGTTCTCCTATGCCATGGGGGTCGAGCTTCGAAGGTTACTTTTCCTGATTTGTAAATTATGAACTCACAATTTTTTCTATTACGATGCAAATGTTATTATTATTAGAAATTAATATGACATCTGATTCCATAATATGAAAGCCTTGATTCAGTTTGTCATTGTTTAGTTATTTTCTTCTATCTTCAGGAAAACTTTATCATGACAAATCTTGCAGCTGCTCTAGAGAATGCAGGAATCAGTTCTTTCCGGTTTGACTTCACTGGAAATGGGTAAATTTCTCGTTTTACATATCAAAACCGAGAGTATATTATCCTTATATTCTCGTGTTCAATTCAATATATAAACCACTTGTTCCTTCCTCCATTTATGCTATGTTTATATTAATCTTCTGCTATCGAATTCTGACTATTACTGTTTCTGTTTGACTGTTTCGCTTTGATTTAGCTGTTGATTCTTTCCTTCCAGGGAAAGTGAAGGTTCATTTGAGATTGGTGGTTTCTGGAGGGAAGCTGATGATATACATGCTGTAGCACAACATTTTCTCAAAGCAAACCGGACAGTTATTGCTATTGTTGGCCACAGTAAAGGTTTGTTGTATTGATGTAATTAAAGCATGTCTGCATGTGTTTATATTTCATACTCTGAGCTAGTCAGCAGAAGTACCAAAGTGAAACTTGAGTCGGTTTTGTATTGGTATGCTAAACCAGGATTTATAAATTTTATTGCTTACCTTCAACTTTAATGTGAAGTCTACTATGATGACTGTGTTAATCTGTATCCACTACAAAGGAACGAATACTTGTCAAGTTGCTGCATATTCGTGATAGGGCTTAAAACATTATTTCATCCCTTCGCAAAACTTTCCAAGATCTTCTACCAGTATCAAGAAGTCAACAAATTCTGCCACTGTGTATTAGAGAGTTTCTATGCATGTTTAAATTGTTCTGAATGGTTTATGTATATTGGTGCAGGAGCTAATGCAGCCATTCTTTATGCATCAAAATATAATGATGTTAAAACAATTGTGAACCTCTCTGGTACTCATGATTTGAAGGTAAGCCTTGTAAGTCGTTATGGAAAAGAATTTCTGGAAAGAATAAGGAAGGAAGGTTTCATTGAGTTGAAGGCAGAACCAGGTAACTGACCACTAAATCAGCATTTATTTCAACACTTATATTTCATATGCTTGTTTCTCTGCTTTTAACTTGCTATTTATTGCATTTTCTAAAATGATGTTTTTTTCCTCTTCACTCTTTTTCAAAACAAAACTTCCTTTGTTCTTCAAACCAATTGGAGCTCTTTCTTTTGGTCTCTGATCTTTGATACAATGTTCCAACTGCATTTGTCTTGTCATCTTGCTTTGCTATAAGTTCTCACAATGTCAAACTTCGATTTCTTGACAAATTTGAAAAAATTATTATCACCTGTTATCTTCAGTTGAGGACATCTCATGACATGTACTTTGGCAGGAGGCATCAATTATCGTATAACTGAAGAAAGTTTGAAGGACCGGTTAAACATAAGTATGCTTGAAGAATGTCTGCATATTGATAAAGAATGCAGGTGACACTCTTCTTCACCCTTTCATCTTCATTACAGAGTTTTATTACAATGATCCACACACCCGAATCTCTCAGCAGTTAATGCATGTAATTTTTAACTGTGTAAGTGTTTTTCCTTCAAGAGCATGCCTCTGCCAAATTTTAAAATTAAACAAAATCCTCATTATTTTTTCATGTTAGAAATTTTTATTTGAAACATTTTTGTTTGTAAGTTAACAATGAAGAATAAATATGAAAAATAACGAAATAGTTTGTGAGGATGATAGTGATTCGATCTAAATTTACTATGTTATATCGTTCTTAAAGTGATCGCTTACATGACTTGTCTACATGCATGTTAACTCATCACCAATCAGTAATAGAGACCATTTTAAAAAAGTAAAAATTACAAAGATTAAAACAATAAAATATTTGAAGGATACAAAATCAAAATCTGTCATATTTGCAAGAATAAATGAGACAGGAAATGGAATTTATAACTTGCACTATTTTAATGCTTAGTTTTCTCATTATCTTTTCTTCAAAAGTATCAGTTTTTATTAACTATGGAAAATTTGACCAAAAGTGAAAGGCATAACCTTCCAAACATTTCAGTTTCGAAATTTGCATGTAAGTCATTCAATCTGAAAAGAACTAGTGATGTTGGCAATGCATGGTTTTACTTCCTATATTCATTAGTTCTCATATTAGTCAGTGAAGGAGATAATCTTTATCCATGTAATTTGATGTTTGGTTCATGCTTCCAATATGCAAGTTAATAGGTTTATGTCTATATGGAGTATGTACTAGTAATTAGTAATGGATTTAAAGAACCGGAACATTAATTTGTGAGGAAAAATGATAGTTTTTATTTGTGAAGTTGTGAAATTTCCATATTGAATGGTTGTAGATAAATGACAGGTTCTTTACAGTTCATGGTAGTGCAGACATCCAAATCCCAGCTTTGGCTGCAGTTGAGTTTGACAAGATCCTTCCTAATCACAAGTTTCATATCATAGAGGGAGCTGATCATGTGTATAGTGATCACCAAGATGAATTAGCCTCAGTTGTTGTGAACTTCATAAACGAAACCTTGAGCAAGGATAAGGGTGCTTCTAGCTAGGTATCTATCTATCTATCTTTGTTGGCTGCATTTGAACTCAACATTTTATGTTGGACATTCGTTTATCTAATAATATATTTGTGGTAGATGTTGCAGTGTTAAGCCAGTTCAATCCGCCACTGATGAGCAAATTTTCTGCTATGGATGAACCTGCTTATGATGTTCCACAACACGTGTTGAACTTTTCTGGATTGTACTTATTGAATTAGTGAATCTCTCATCATGGTTAAAATGATGGAGAGTTCAATTATTTATGACAGTGCAAACAGCTTTCTCAAGTTAGCTTATTGTGAACAGGGCATAAGCCTCGGTGAGGAGTTAATATCACATTTGAAGAATGTTGGAACAAAGCATGGAATTGTAAAAGAAAAAGGTAAGAAAACCTTATGGTAAAGACTTCTTAGTTGCCACATGTTTGAAGCAATGATAACTAGTCTTGGAGGGACAGTAGTTAAAGAACTAAAATAAATATATTAAAAGGATTTCTTATTTTTACATTCTTCATTAGTGTCTGAGACACAAGTGAGCAATAGCTTTTAAAAATTATGAAATTATTTATGTATTCGATTTCTGGGAAGATTGTGGAGGACTTGAGAAATTGTTCTCAGACAAAACATGTGGCATAGAAGTGAAACTGAAAATATGATTTGAATTAATTAATGTAAAGTTTATTTTGACTAATGGTATAAAATAGATTTAAAGAAACTAAAATTAGTTTGTATATAAGTGAATTTGTAAAAACTCTTTTATGTACGTTTTAAGAAAATATTTATAATTTATGTATAGATTAATTTTAATTTATGAATTATTTTTGTTTTTCTTATTTCTTGAAGTATTTACGTAGAAGCCTGAATATTGGGATGTTTTTATTCTATATTTATCAAGGAATTTCAAACATAAAATAAAGGGTGGGTTGGGATATCATCTTTTTATTTATATTAAATAAATGTGTTAAATTTACTTTTAAGCACATTGTTTTTGAAAGAAATGATTTTTCATCTTACGTTGTATTCGGAATTTGTCACAAGATTGATAAATTTTGCTTCATTGAATGGTGCGTTTGTTTGTATAAGAAAAACATTGGTGATTTATTTTAGGTGGTTTGTTTTTAAAAAAAATTATTGTTTAAAGGATATAAAGTAAAAATTGATATGTATTTATGTATGGTAAAAGCTTTTTTAAAGTTTTCTCTATTTAAGCGCATATTTTTTATGAAAAATAACATCAAAAAATTACTTTAAAAAAAACTGAAGACTTTTTTTTTCTTTTTCTACTTTTTCAAAAAATATACTCAAATATGTTCAAAATCATAATAAGTCATTATTCTATTTAAAAAATTCAGAAAAAAAATTAAACAAACGTACCGAATTTTACATATTTGATGACAAAGTTGAGCAATTTCAATGGACTTGAATTCAAACTACTAACTGTAAAAAAACACTTCCAAATGTTATGATTACATTAATTAGCATTAAATTAAGTTTAAATTCTTTAATAATTTGTTTAAGGTATGTTATTAGCAAGTTACTCTTGTATGTAAGTATTGTTCTAATTTAAATAATAAAAAAAAAGTTTCAGTTTTAGAAGAATATAATTTTTTTAAAGTAAAATGGTTAAGATTCGAGGAGAAATCAAATATTAGAGAAATACAAATATTTGAAATTGAAATTTGGGATGTTTTGATTAAACACTTAACAATGGTAAAGTCGCAAAGAATACAATAAAAATATTCTTTCACTGAAAAGAGAAAATGAAAAATTACAGTATAAAAATTTAATTAATACATAAAACAATTTATATTATTAAGAATATAAAAATAAGTATTGAATAAGAGTAAGACCAAATGTATATAATTATATGGAAAGAGATGACATGGTTACCTGCCACACTCAGAAGTTGAATTATTGAAAGTAGTTGACGTTTTCACAACTTGAAGATGGCCGGAGATGCACAAAAAAGCCCTTGTGAGTTATTTATATGAACTTCATGTCATGACTTCCGATACCAATGGCTTATTCCTTTCACTGCAAAAAGTACATAAATATAAGTCAACCTCATTACTCATTTTAAGTGTCTTGTCTGACTGAAATGCTTCTAAATTGTTCATAGGTTCAAATTATGTTTTGGATTATGTTCTGTACTTTCTTAAGTTAGCAGTTTCTACTTTCTTGATTGAATAGAAACTACAATTGTTCCGGAGGAGTTCCAGAGTTTGTATTTTGAAGTTTCTGGGTTGTCTTTAACTCTTCAAGACTCTTTATTTAAAAAGAATTTGGCTGTGACATGTTGGGAACAGCACACTATCATGATACCCAAATTACTGGGTTTCTTAACTTCCCTGTTCTGGTCTCCATTTTTTTCTATCTCCATCAAATAGTGTTGCCAAATCTTGCCAAAACTGAAGATTCTAATTCCCGTTTTGAATTTTATCTCTCCGTATTATATAAACCTAATTTATTTTATGTTCTCTTTAACTGTATCGCCCAAAGTTTAACTCATAAACAGGGTTTCATATTCTATGATTTACACTGTTTTTCCTATGGAAATGGAAATAACATGAAATGGAAGTATCCAAAGTGGCATATGAAAAGTATAGTATAACGGTGTTGAGTATTTCAGAAGCATTTATTGCGGTATTTGAAATGAAACCTGAGTGGCATACTGAATATTCAATCAATTAAAAAAGAAATTGACTTCAAACTGTTGGTTATTTTCTCAGCACAGCAGCAGAGAGTCATAATCCCGAACAAACATGGCAATAAACTAGTGGGCATACTACATGAATCTGGAACCCAAGAGATTGTTATCCTATGCCATGGTCTTCGAGCTAACAAGGTTACTTTCCTGTTTTATATGAACCCGCCAATTTTTGTTATAATGCATTGAGTTATTCGAAATGAATGACATCTGATTCCACAATCCATGTACACATAATACCTGGATTCAGTTACTCTCATTGTTTAATTACTTTTTCTTATCTCCAGGAAAACTTTATCATGACAAATCTAGCTGCTGTTCTAGAGAATGCAGGAATCAGTTCTTTCCGCTTTGACTTCACTGGAAATGGGTAAATCTCTGGTTACAAATCAAAACCCTGAACTTGTTTATGTTTGTAATTTTGACCATCAATAGATAGAACCACTAGTTCCTCCGTTTATGCCATGTTCTATGAAACTTCGGATACCTAAACCTGACCATTAGTATTGCTTGACTGTTTCATTTTGATTTAGTTGTTAAGTTTTTCTTATAGGGAAAGTGAAGGTTCATTTGAGTTTGGTAGCTACTGGAGGGAAGCTGAGGATATACGTGCTGTAGCTCAACACTTTCAAGAAACAAACCGTACAGTTATTGCAATTGTTGGGCACAGTAAAGGTTTGTTGTATTATATTGATATCCATACATGCATATGTGTAATTCTACGAACTGACAAGTTCGTAGTAACAAGCGTCCAGGTAATACTGAGGCAATTGATTTTGTCAATATTTTTCTAACAACCATGATATAAGTAATTTCTGGTCAGCAACGATTTGGCTGGGGCAAAAATCTCAGAATGAAGCAATAGGACAAGAACTGCACAGTTTCTTACATAATTTTTTCCTATCTCTAGATTATTACTCACTGTCACTGAAAATAAAAGCATGTCTGTATGTATTTATAGTTCATACTATGAATAAAACTCTGTCTCTTAATCTACTGAGCTAGCCAGCAGAAGCACTAAAATAAACTGAGTAGTTTTTATCTTGATATGTTTAAAGAGGATTTATGAGAAATTTTATCACTTGCCTTAAACTTTAAATTGAAGTTTACTGTGATGTCTGTGTTAATCTGTATCCACTGGATAGGAATAAATACATGTCAAGTTGCTGCATATTTGTGCTTGGTTTTAAAACAATATTTCATGCCTAGGAAAAAATTGATAACATCTTCCATGGATACGTGGTTTTTGAGTTTTTGTTAGACTTGAGTTCAACACGCTCAACCCTTAATATTAATGGAGAATATTTTATCTTAAGCTAAATTTGAGTAGAAGCATCAACAAAAGCAGGGTTTCCACCTACATGGCGTTCCCTCCTCCAAAACACCAGAAAAAATGTCATCTTAACTGCCTTCTACAAATCTGTTACACACTGTAACTGTCATACCTTATGCAGCATTACAACTACCTAATTTAAAATTTAGTAGCATCAGTTTCTCTATGATACGAGAAGTACGGATTCAAGCACATAAAGGACAAGTCAAAGAATTCTGTCACTGTAGATTAGAAAGTTTATATCTATGTTAAAATTGTTCTGAATAGTTTATGTATATTGATGCAGGAGCTAATGCAGCGCTTCTTTATGCATCAAAATATCACGACATTAAAACAATTGTCAACCTATCTGGCAGCCCTGATTTGAAGATAGGCCTTGAATATCGTTTTGGTAAAGATTTTATGGAAAGACTCAGGAAGGAAGGTTTCATTGAGTTAAAGGCAGAGTCAGCAGGTAATCCAGCCACTTCATCAGCCTTGTGTTAAAACAATCAAATGCTTAAATTCAAATTGGTGTAGAAGCATGCTTTTCAAAGATGATTTTTTGAAATCTCAGGTCCATATACTTGTTTCTCTACTTTAAACTTTCTATTAGTTGCTTTTGCTGAAATGAGCTAGCCCAGAGCATTTCCTCGATTTTGTTTTCCTTTGGTAAGCTTCTTTCTTTTCTCTTCCAATCTTTGATGCAATGCTCCATCAGCATCAGGCTATGATCTTTCTCTGCCGTAACTCTTCTTTTGAATGTGAAATAATATATGCACCGATGTTTGCGTGTGCGTTTGTATACATAGGTTCTCTTCTTCTAGAGGATATCACATGACGTCTACTTTTGTAGGAGGTATTGATCATCGTGTAACTGGAGAAAGTTTGAAGGATCGGTTAAACATAATTATGCTTGAAGAATGCTTGCATATTGACAAAGAATGCAGGTGAGCGAAAAGCTGTCTAATAGTTCCCCTCCCCTTCTTCCTTTCATTCTTCGTTAAAGAGTTTCATTATAATGACAGAAGAATTATATTTTGACATCAGAAGTTTTGTTTTTTGTATTTTGACACTTGAAAATGTGTGAAAATATTACAAGTGTTAACTCTTGAAACTTAGAAGTTCGGAATATAACGATTATCACGAAATGGAATTTAAAGAAATTCAACTTCAATTATAGTATTTTTTACAAAAGAGGACAGTTTTTAATGAGGTTAATGAAATTTCCATAATGCATGGTTGCATAATGTGACAGGGTCTTTACCGTTCATGGTGGAACAGACACCATAATCCCGGTTGTAGCTGCAGTTGAGTTTGGTAAGGTTCTACCCAATCACAAGTTACACATCATAGAAGGAGCTGATCATGTATATACGGATCATCAAGCTGAATTAGCGTCCTTTGTGGTGCATGTTATAAAGGAAACCTTGCAAATGGACCTTCTTAATGCCAGTTAGGTATATATCTACCTATCTTGGCCTGAATAATAGCTTTTTATATTTTAAAATCTTTAGTTTTTCTAAAAGTAATAATGGTGATGATCAATCTTGCTGCTTTTAGTCAATTGAAATTTGAAAGTGCGATCCATAACAAACTTGCATTTGCAGCTCCCTGATGGACATGCTTCATGATGCACTACTGTAATTTGCAGCGTGGGACATCTGAGGACTCTGCTCATGGAGAGCTTTAGTTTTGTTCCATTGCACAATGTGGCAGTAATATTTACAGACAAATGTGAATTACAATAAAAACTTTATGATTTTAAATTTCTAAACCTGTACCCTTATTTGTGTGTGTATGTATATTAAATGAGAAATAAGGTTGAGGATAGTCATTATACTTTTACCATATCATGTTATTTTATGAATATGTGAAGTTAAATAGTAAGAAATGATACGAAGAAAAATAAGTAGAGGTAAGCAGCAATTAATAATTAATAAAACGGATCAAAAGGATAAACAACAGACCATTTTCTATTTATCATTTTAACCAGATAAAAAGTCCTCCTCAACAAATGGACAAAGAATAAAGGATAAATACAATTGATGTTTTGCAAGCGTGTGTAAGGAAAATAGATGAGAGAGTAGATGGCTTATATAATCTTAATCATCACAGTTACAGATTACTTATAAAGAGAGCATGATTAGTTATGTAATGTGTTGAAATGAAAATATTTGATTAGTTAAATTATAAATTTATATAATCATTTCTATTTTTCAATTTGGCATCAGAGTTTAGATTTCTTTTTATGAATTTTTTGAAATCTTAGTTGGATATGTGACAAAGAAACTAATGATAATTCAATCTAAAGGCGATTTTAACATAGGTATTACTCTAAATAAATCCAATTATAATTTATGATCACAATTAATGGATATGCACATTGTAAAGAGAAAATGATCTTACATCCGTAGGAAGGTGAAGCCTTCAACAAAGGTATATGAGAGATATGAAAAATGCTACTGAAAACTAAAAAGTAAAAAGATGGTTATTAATGTCTATGAAGTCATAAATCATGAAAATGTATCTTTATTTAGCCATTGTCCTTTCTTGAAATGCTTTGATAAACGCATTTTATGATAGAAGTGATGAACTACTTGAGTTTGCTATAAATCAAAAAGTATGTACTGCAAAACAAAACAAAATTGTTTCATTCAAGTAGTATTATAATTTTTATATAAAAAATATTTCATTAGAATTTAAGTATGGGAATAAAAAGACTTTTTAAAATATTTTTAAATCTGATTATCTATTTTTTTTGTAATTTTTTAAAAATATTTTTAAATTTTTATCAACTTTGTTTTATTAATTTTGAAAATTTAACAAATGTTTGTCTCGTGATATTTTATTTGGTATTTTAATTTAAATATTATATAATTATAATTTTCTTATAAATAACTGATATTTAATAAATAAGAATATTCAATATTATTGTAGAATACATTGTATGAATTAAAGCAATCGCCACAAATGTAGTTAAGTAAATTCACTAATGCTTACTTTTTAAATAGAAACCAAGATCATACCTTGTTTCTAAAGAAAAAAAGAATGAAAAGATTACAATTTTTATTGTTTATGTTGATGACATAATAACTATGAGAAATGATTTATAAATACTTTTTTAAAGGAACACAAGGCATTGAAAGAGTATAAAATTCGAGATGAAGGATCTTGAGCCTTTTTTCTTGGAATCAAAATTAAGTATTTTTTTCTCATGGTGAAAATATGCATTGAATTTATTGAAAGAAATTAGAATGAAAACTTAAGCAAATTCTCCAATTGAAAGGGATTAAAATTGTGTATTGAAGAAGATGAAACTCTACCAAGCAATAGGATAATATCATAGAGTTATGAAAGAGATTGATGTATCTCACACACACTAGACTAGATTTAACTTGTGTTCTTAGGTTATTTAGTTCATACACAATTCAAGTGAAAAACATAAGATTGTTACATAGATTTTAAGGGATACTCTTGGAAAAAGTTGTTTTATTTAAGAAGAACTCTAACTATAAGGATGTGATAATTTATACTAATATATTGGACAAGTGCTCTTAATAATAGAATATCAATTTCTAGATATGTCACGGTAGAAGATAATCTTGTAATGTAAAAACAAGAAGCAAAAAGTTGTAACAAGATCCACTACAAAAATTGTTGAGCTGAAGAATGATTTTTTACTTTGTGAAGGTTTGAGCCTCAGAATATCTCTCAAGGATTTCCAACATGACCAAATGAAACATGGAGATTGATAGTTTTTTCATCAAGGAAAAGGTTGATAAAAACATTATAAAATTGTCAAATATTCGATCTGAAAAACAACTTGCAAATACTCTTATTAAAGTTATGAGAAAGTTTAGAAATGATTAGACAAGTTGAGGATGTATGACATCCATTACCAACTCCAGGGGAGGAATGAGAGGAAGATATTCATTTGACTAAATTATAGGTTTGTATAACAATACAAAATATTATATAATCAAAACTTTATTAATTTAATCTTGATTCATAGGAGAAAAATGTGTTAAAAACAAAATATCTGTATACAAAAATATATAAATGAAAATAATTCAATTTTTCAATTTAATGAAATACCAGTTCTTATAATCTCACACATATATGATATATACAAGTTTGGTAATCCAAAGAATAAAAATGTCGACTCTTACTCAAACTGGTCAATAGTTAAGGATGGAGGTCAAATATAAATTACAATATACTTTTGACCCCAAAATAAATATTATTTTGTGGAACAACAGTTCTAAAGAAATCCTACAATGAAAGGTCATACTACCCTAATGGAATTAACCGTTATCAAACTCGTGTAATGCAATTTACATTCATGCAACTGAATTAACCATTTCACATGATGTTATAGGTAGCATACCATTTCCAGGTAAGATAGAATTCCCGCATAAATGGTGCTCACAAGGGGGCAGCAATAATAATCTGTGCCTGCTACCATCTACAAAAATATTTCAGTGAGGGGTGAGAGGCTTAAGCTTCGGTGCTTCACATTTTTCTTCACCTTCTTTGTCACCTATTGCAATGCAGTGCTAGTTTACCTAGTTAAGTATTTTGACGTTTCTTATCCTCATCATCACTGTCATCTTCGCTAAAATAAATCTCACTCCATTCAATCTATTTTACCAAAGAAAGTAGCATGGCACAAACATAAGAAAAGAGTACAGTTAGTCACTTCTTATGGGTACTTCTAAAATTGCTATTGGCAAATCTACCCTTTAAATACAAGTATTTGGTATTTGTTTACTGAAAGAAAATATTTACCTCTTCCAAGTCATTGTCGGAGGAAACAGGATTGTCCAGTGTTGAGTGCAGAGTTTTGCTATCATCAATCTCCTTCCCATTCTTCATATCCTCCTGAAATCAGCAACAAAAACTTCAGAATGAACTTATAAGCTACTTAAAATAAGCAACTGCAGGATTACATAAAAGTGACACAAAATCATACCAGCTCAGATTTCAGCAACCCAATTCTCTCCTCTAAGTCTAGGATATGATGTTTAAGAGCCTGGATATATTAGAACTTTATGAGATAAAAGTACTAGTAAAGATCCAAGTTTACCACAAGTCAAGTCATAGCTTTACTACCTCACGTCTTTGAAGCTCAACAGATCGAGCCATTGCCTGTCTTCGTGTCAACATGCTTTTGGGTCTCACAACATGTGGACTGCAATAGTTCTTCCCACGATACACAATAATGATATGGTGACCTCTGTTGTCCTTGTCCACAGACACTAGCACCCCCCCGCTCTCAGCTTCTAAAGATATTGCGATATGCTTGACTTGGGCTGCATTTCTTCCTTTCAGAATTAGCTTTACCACCTCACGATATTTCCAGTGTAGGTGCATGTTTTCTATGGTGCCAGCATAAACATCTCGCCTCCCTGAAATAAAAATTCCATGCTTCTAACCTTTCTTGTGTAAGCCATTAACCCTTATACAAAAACAGCCAATCACAAAGCTATAATAAATTTGTTCATCTTACCTAAAAGTAAATATGGTTTCATGCTCATACCAATCTTCCTAAATAAAAACCTCTCTTCATTAGTTAATGTTTCCAAATCAGTAGGAATGACAGCTGGGTCCATATCACGCTGAACCTTTTCTAAAGCCTTCTCAGCCTTCCTGAACTTTGCTTTTGCCTACGACCATTAAAAGCTAGATAGATTTAGTAACAGATCATTTTTGGTAAGTTATTTCACTTTATACCTTCAAAACTTACTAAAGCTAGTCTCTTCTCATGGTTTTTTATTAAAGCAGAAAGTTTACTCATGGCAGAATCTCTCAACATGTTCTCAATTTCTTGCTTATTCAGTTGGTGTCCCCAGTTGGAGGTTGCAGCCCTAGTCTCAGCAAGGGTGCCAGCAATTAATGGCACTTGAGCTGCTTTGGTTTTTGACAGAGTAATAGATGAAGCAATTTGCCGAGCTTTCTCTTCCTCTTCTTGTTGGAGGAGGGTTTGTTTCTGTCTCTCATTCAGTGTATTTGTGACAGCAGGAGGCAAGAAGTCATTGCCTCTGTAAAGTACAATATATTCTTTATTTCTGGAAAGTAGAATTCCTCCAGTCAATTTCTGCATGCATGATAAGGAATAATTACTTCACTTGAGTATGCCAGAGGGAAAATTAGGAACCTCAGCTGTCAAGTTATACAAGTTTCAAATTCTAACAATCCGTACAACCTTACAAGATTTTAACAAATATGGTGGTAAGTCTACAAAAAGTGTAAACCGTGAGCATTACAACAAATGCAGGTTCAGACTATTAAGAGCATGAGTTTTTTTTTCTACGATCAGGAACTATTTAAAGAAAGAATAGAATGGGCCAAAAGGCAAGAACTATGGATCAATTGCAGATAACCACTTGTAGTACAAACCCTAATAACTTGACTTCTTGAATTTATCTAAACTCAAAAGGGGATTTTCTACAGTAACGTGCAAGGTTTGGTAAGTTCGAGGAGTTGGGTAGCTAGATTTGAAGCATGGGATAGTTTTCTGCATTTAGATGGAAAGATGTGTGTGCATTTTAGCCCCAATGATGGTATAGAGAAAACAATATCTCCAATGTATCTGATCCAAAACAAAGGCAAATGCCGTGACAATCACACATGTCAAGTTGTTCAGTCTCCACGGATGAAAACCATCTGATTTTAGCAAATTAAATGAAGAGGACAAATAGCAAACGCATGTCTAGAGATTAACAACAAAATGAAGACATTCAG